AACAACAATATGTATAAGAGTAATTGGAACCATTTGATCCAGGGGGTGGAGATGGGTAGGTTTAGGGGTGGAAATGGGATCCAGAGGGTGGAGGTAGGAGGAGTTGGATCTCGATTTGGTGGAGTTGGTGCACCACTGTAATACCAGTGTACTTACATGGTAACTCCTCAGGAACTGTCCACTTAATATAAAGTGTAACATTTTGGACACCAACCACAATTTGTATGTAAAGCCAAACTTACTGGCCGCTGCAGTGTAACATCAAAGTAATTACATGGTAAATCTAATATAAAGTGTACCACGTTCTTTACCAAAAAGTGCTGGTAGTCCTGTTACACATTTGTACTTTCATTACCAAAAAGTGTTGTTACCAATGTCCTGTTACATATTTGTACTTACACACACTCAGTGTTCGAACTATATCGTGGACTTTGGGGGAGCCCACTTGTTTTTTTTGTTTTTTTTATAACGTGTGGGGTTCGTGTGCTTGCGCATGCCTCAAAAGAGGGCTTACAATGACTTACAAAGATGCATAACATAAGTATGCACTACTTGCTTTATGCAAGCACTATATAGGATAAATCACCATACAGGATTTACCCTATTATACTTTATCGACATGAATTGATAGGTGAAACAACAAACAGCCACCCACAAATAGTCTATAAACAAAGCATCAGGCTGTCTTTGAGTTCACATGAACAACGGTTAAAGTTACTCGTAGTCAGTCTACAGAAGAATACCATAATTCCTCCGTTCAATTAGGCCTAAGACATCGCAGACCAACCCAGCCACAACACATAATTGCGAATAACATGCCTTACCTTAACACAGAATCGACCACAGAGTCCAACGTTCATATTTTTTCTACAAATCTTTGAGTTAACATGTAGCCTACTAAACATGAGTGGAATTTGTACCACAGCGCCCCCACACCTTGATGCTCATGACAAGAATAGCATGTATAGTTATCTTTATTGAAGCGAATTAGGTTTAAATCGCCGTAATGCATGAATGAATGATATTTTTGCAATTTTACACATAATAATCCCATAATGATCACATTACACAAAACTGAAATTGCACGTCAAAATAACACATTGTCAATATTTTTTGAGACCCCCCAAAATTTCACAAATCCCGTTATCAGGGGAGCCCATGTTTTATTAAGGGGAGCCGAGCTCCCCCTAGCTCCCCCGTAGTTCGCACCCTGCACACACCATTCAGTGGGTTGTTACATATGTGTAGTTACACAAATATTAGAACTGAAGACACTATGTACCAATGTGTACTTACACTGTGGTTACATACTACGTACACATCTAGTTACTATGTAAGCACACAGGCATTAGGGCCACTTAATATACAGTGGGACCAAAAGTTGTAGTTAATTGTTAGTTAATAGTGAGAACTGGCCCTCAAGCTAAAGTGTGACCTAATATATTTATTAATTAACCCCATAAAAAAAATTCAACTTTTTAAATCTAGGTTAATTTTAGCTTAAACTTGACATTGTAATGTATAGGTATAATTAAATTATAATGAACTTTTGGATTTATTTTAACTATTAACTAGTTGCTTATTGGCATGCATATTACTAGCATATTGGCTGTTTATTAGTACTTATAAAGCACATATTAATGTCTTATTCTGCATGATCATATTTAGATCCCTTAATCCTGTCCCCATACCTAAACTTAACAACTACCTTAACTAACTATTAATAAGCAGCAAATTAGGAGTTTCTACGGCAAAAGCTGTAGGTAATAGTTAGTTAATATTAAGAATTGGTCCCTAAACTAAAGTGTCACTACACTTTTAACTAATTTTTACATTATATCCATACTTTTGAAGAAAGACTAATAAATGCTATTGTTGTTCTTAAATGTTCATGATACCTAATGCATTAACTAACACCATCAAATTGAACTGTAAATTGTTACCAGGAAATCTAGGAAATCTAACGCAACTGCAGGCAGAAATGGTTACAAAGTTTCAGTTATTTTGTGACTCCAGAGGTGAAGAAGGTAAGTGCACTGAAGGATTGAAATGATGGAAGGGCTGCAGTGGAGGAGGAGGAGGATGAGGAGGAGGGTCATCAGTGATGTTTATAGCACAGTCTCCACAAGCACTTAGGCTGATACATTACACTAATTAAAACCAAAGGTGGTGAAGCAGAGAGCGGGGGAGAACCGCTGGATTTTAATGCATGAATTAAAAGCAGCCACCCTCGTCTGATGTTGGATGTTGGTCACAGGCTAAGTACAGAACAAGAAAAAGGGCCCCAAGCACTCGCGGCACGGCTCCGTGACCTGCCCAAGACATTGTATAAATTAGCACGGCAGCATACGAGGTCCTCGCTGGAAAATGTGAGCGAATGTGCTCCAATTAATGCTTTGAAAAGATTATACAGCAACCGCACAAAGCTCCCCTGATGACACTCCAGAACGGCAGAGAACAGAAGTGGCGGTGGCTTCTTATTAAGCAAGATGCCTGCTCATTTGGTGTGCTGATATTAAAGGAGATTTGAATATGTCTGAATGCCAAACAAGGCTTTATTAAAGCAGTGAGGGGCGGCTGGAAGTCTGAACTGAGGCTAATTTGTCGATGGTGTGTAACCTTCATGGAGACTCGAATCATCAATATGAGGCTAAACTCAGCCAGACTTGAACTCTTCACGAGCAGAATGATCCTGAGCAACAAGGAGGAATTTCACATAAATGTCACTTGCGTAATTAGAGCAAGGGTCCAAAGGTTAGAGCTTTTTTCTGTACACAGATGCAGAGGGTATGACGATGAATGATACTGTCATATCTAGAGAATTATGTGAAGATACAAGTTTGTATGTTGTGTAGCCTATAAATTAATTTCTTCAATGTGTTTCTTGAGCCAAAACAACGGTGATAATTTCTAGGGTTTCAAATCAGAATATACGACTTTGTACGACCCTTCAATGGGTCTTCATTCATAATGATGATACAATGAAAATTCAGCTAAAATTAAAAAAAAGAAGAAAAAACAACAAAAAACTCAAGATGGTTTTACATGGTTTAAACGTGGTTTATAGATGGTTCTATGTGGGTTTTAGTGTTGATTAGCTGGTTCTGCTAGCAAATAGGGGCCAGGGTGAGCTGGAAGACCATCTTGGTCAAGTCTATTAGATGGTAGAATTCTTAAGACCAGTGTTATTTTAGTATCAGTAGTATTGATATACTATAGTTTTTGTTCAAGTTTGAAAATAAATTGTATTTATTAAATATGTATTATTTAGTTTTTGTATTCACTTTAATTTTAATTAAGTTTAAGTAATTTTGTTTTGTTGTGTGTTTGCATTTTTTATGTCTATATAGTATTTGTTAATATAGTATTTTATTGTATATAGTATTTTATTTATTTTAGTTTATGTAGTTTTAGTTATTTTAATACTTAAACTAAACAAAAAAAACAACCATGAATTTTTGGCAACCATGAATTAAAACAAGTTTAATTAATTTACTGTTTTATTTCAAGTATTTATTTTTTTAATGGTTTAATTTTCATTTTAGTTAATGATAAACCTGCCTTGCACAAGAAACAAACCACTACAATGACTTGGTAGACCTGTAAAGCCAATTAAGTCATAGGAAATACATACATGGGCTCACAGGACCATTATAGCTCAGTCGATGCTAAGAATGGGTCAAGAATAACTTCTGCTGTTCATAAGATCCTCAAAACAATGTGTCGTGAGAGACGTTCAAAGCTTAAAAGTTGTGCGTCTTTGTGCTTAGGTCATAGTGACGGGTGGAGGATGACCACTGTAGCAGATGAAGATCAAAGACCCACCAAATAAGATAAAAAAAAGCCCTGGTGTGAGTTATAAACAACATTATTCATACCTTTCTTTTTGCCGTTGCTTTTTATAATTTTTTTTGTAAGGGTGAAATTATGCTCTGTGCTCAGTTTTGTTTATTTTCAGCTCACATTCAGTGAAAACATTCCAATTCTACATTGGCCATTAATTATTAATGACCTTTGCCGTTTCGCCTAGTTTAATTACCAAACTTTTTATTTTATGCTCAGATTTGTTTATGGAGAAAAACAGACACTTTCTGAAGCCAAACAACAGACAACACTTTTGAAGAGGTGTGATCAAGCTGTCATGAACAATCAAAACTCCCTCTGTTTGGACACAATGAACTGATGTGTGCTGATTCAATGGAGAGAAAACTTTCAAGGATGATTCCCCCAATTTAACACCATTGAAGTTTTATACCACACAGATAATTCTCTTTCCAAACAACCCAGTTTCTGAATAGCCTACTGGGACTAAATATGCATATGAGTAGCTTTCTAAAGAGGCATTCAAGGATAAAGACAGGCAGCATAGCTAACTTGATAAATTCAAAGACTTTTAAATTTTTAAATATTTTAAAATTTTAAAATTTAAATTTTTATTATTGATTTTATCTGTAAACTAAATTTATATAATTAGGAATCTGTCTATTTAAAAACAGTTAGCTATGTTGACTCTGGACTAAGAGCAATTGTTGTCACAAAAAAAAAGAGAAAGGATGAGATGAGCAGAAATGATCAGTCTTCAAACTCATTTATAGTTCCAGCAAACAAAACAAAACAAAACGAAAAAAAAATAAAACCCAAAAATGAAATAAAGCAAAAAATAAAACAAGTCCCCCTGCCAGTGTACAAAGCATAACACCAGAGAAGTCAGGGAAAGTAAAGTTTGTACTTGAATATATGAGACTGTAAAAGGGATTGAATAATTGTCCCTAAGACACTTTGCATTACGTTTTGACAGGTATAAAACCATGAGTAAGGATCAGTGTCCAGTAATACTGGATGAAGAGAATGTAATATAGCAAAATGTAATTGTAGGTTATATAGATGCATTGTTATATGGTATTGAGAGCTCACCAAAACACATTTTTCATCCATACACCTATCCCCCCATTAATCCATCAATCTTGTATTTATACGATCTGTTCTTATTTGTATTCTACCTTCAGAGTGGATGATCCAAGCTCGTTGGCCATGAGTACCGTCCTGTCCACCAGCTCAGCCACCCTGGCATCCACCACCTTCAGAGAGTCTTGCACCAGTTCTGTCACATCCACTTGCCAGTCAGGACCCAGCATAGTGATCATCTGGTTTGTGCCTTCACTAGAGGTTGTGTGGAACTGTGTTAGAACCTTAACCTGGGCTCTCTGGTACTGCAGTGTACATCCTCTGCTCACTTTACGGTCATCTTCATCATCATCATCGCTGTCTCTGGCCATTCTGAGGAGATGGGTGAGAGGTCATTATGAGTTACTATAGATAAGAAATTCACACTAGAATTTATGTTCAGTTAACTTCCATTCATAAGAATGACCATGTGGAAGAACAGGCACACCAGCATGTGCTAAGAATTTTTGTCTTTCACTGTTTATTATTCAAGCTTAGTGAACTTTAAATGGTAACTTATATAGTGAAATTTGCCTTTTAGGAAAAACACAGAAATAATCCTATGTGAAACCACTTTTTTTTGTGTGTAAACATGTATAATAGAGAATTCAAAGTTCAGTTTAGAAGGCGACGTGCACATGTGTAAAAAAAAATACTGTTCTGTAGAACACTTTAACATAAGTTTGTAAATGATTAGATTGCTGAAAAGAAAAGTTGTTTCAGAGGTGGAGCAAGTTATTACATTTTAATGAAAGATTATAAGGAAACCATTTTTTCCCCTTTGGAATAAGGTGGAGAAAGCAATATAAAGGATGAGATGATCAAACATCATCAGTCTTGAACCTGGCCAAAATATTATGGCATAAAGCAAAGCAAAAAAAAAAAAAAATCTAAATAAAACACAAAGCACATTTAAAAAAGCTATAAATGTTTTTGTTTGTTTTTTAAATTAGGTGTTGGTGTACATTTTCTATAGATCTATAGCGAGTTATTCATCCAATGGTCTCCAAACGATGCACAAGACAGATAAGATGATGCTATAAAGTGTACTTTACCGGCTTCCAAGACTGAAAATGTGTTTAGCACAGATTTTTTTTGCCATGTTTGTCTCATTACCTAATTCATTTGCAGTGTTAAAACAATAGACAATGCATGCTGAACAACGTTCCATTTTTAGTGAATTCCCCCCACAAAGTTTGTTACTTTGGTACAAAGTTAGTGCATCATCTGGAGACCTGTTTCAAGGAGGTTTTGGATCAGTGACTCTTGCATGCCTCACACATACCATCACATTCAATCTATCTCATCTGCTACCTTAGCAGCATGACACCATGTGAAGTAAGCGAGAGTAAGCAGGGTAAGGGCTGGGTGGATCTTCAAAGCTGAATGCCACTTCACCCATTCTACACACACAACTAATTAATCAGATAACTGGAGTTGTAGAGACAGCTGTCTGCCTCTGACTGACAAAGCATGTCCTGCCCATCGATTAGCCTAAATTGAGCTGAATGTAAAACATTGCGTTATCATGTAAGGAGACACACTGCTACTTCTCAGCAACGACGAAAGATTGACAGGCACACAAATGCAGAAGGAGAAGCCTCATGAAAGTAGAAAGCAATTGTTGATCAGCACTTTGCTCTCTTCTGAGTTAAACACAGGCTCCTGTTGCCATGGAGGTGAAAAGCAAGAGGCTCTTGCATCAGTTGAAGAGTGTTGAACCTGGCAGGTAGAAGCACTCTGTGTTCTTGAGGACAGTTGCACTCTCTTGTCTCCTCATACAGGTTAATATGAGTTTCAGAGCAGAAGAACACACCTCAAAAGTGGAGCTTTGCTTGAACTCATTAAAATGTCGGGAGAACTGGAGATTTCATACACGGGTACCCGCTCATCCAATAAAAATCAGTGTCCAGTTTTGCAGACACATCATTTCACCAGTTTAGTGAGCTATATCGATCAATCTGTGTAGAAGGCCAATGCGAGAAACCTGCCCACTGACATGTCTCAACATTGGGCAATGTAGTGGAATGAAATGGACAGAGCAGAGGAGGAAAGAACTAAAGGAAGGGAAGAGGGAAAGGAAATAAGAATAAGGGATTGTTCAAACAGGCAGCGGATTCTGTGGTGTATTCGAATCTGTTTAGTTGTTTGATCATAATCAAACGTATGAAAATAAGTTTCAGTGTGAATGGTTAAATCATATTTCAAAATAAAATGTAAGTAACGTCAAGACACAAAACAGAGCTGAACTGCTGTGTCTGAATTCGCTCCTGTCTGCTTACATGCTTACATGTGAAATTCACTATGAATAAGTGAACAAATGAGTGGTTTTATACACAGAATATGCATGAATGTGTAAACAGTACAGAAATGCCTTTGATGCTTGTGTTGCCTCACGTAGTTTCCTTTCTTTTCTCCTTTCCCCATAGATCCATCAGTAAGGCTTCAATGGCCTTTATCCACACAAACAAGAAATGTGTTTCTTTAACTCATAATATACTGGATATTTCTTAGCATTCTCATTAAAGTCGGCATGAAATTAAAACTGACCTAGCTTATTTTATAAATAATACCTTTCAAAAGTTGGAGTTTTTTTCTTTTGTTGTTGTTGTAGAGAAATCAATACTTTTATTCAGCAATTAATTGCGAGACAGTAAATATTTATAATCAAGATTTTTTGAAAATCTAAAAACGCAGAAAGTTTTGTGTGAGGGGTAGGTTTAGGTGTAGGGTTAGGGTAGGGGGATAGAAGATACAGTTTGTACAGGATAAAAAACATTATGCCTATGGATAATTCCCGTAAACCACATACAGGTGCATCTCAATAAATTAGAATGTCGTGGAAAAGTTCATTTATTTCAGTAATTCAACTCAAATTGTGAAACTCGTGTATTAAATAAATTCAGTGCACACAGACTGAAGTAGTTTAAGTCTTTGGTTCTTTTAATTGTGATGATTTTGGCTCACATTTAACAAAAACCCACCAATTCACTATCTCAACAAATTAGAATACTTCATAAGACCAATAAAAATAACTTTTTTAGTGAATTGTTGGCCTTCTGGAAAGTATGTTCATTTACTGTACATGTACTCAATACTTGGTAGGGGCTCCTTTTGCATGAATTACTGCATCAGTGCGGCGTGGCATGGAGACAATCAGCCTGTGGCACTGCTCAGGTGTAATGGAAGCCTAGGTTGCTTTTATAGCGGCAGGCTGATTGCCTCCATGCCACGTCGCATTGATGCAGTAATTCATGCAAAATGAGCCCCTACCAAGTATTGAGTACATGTACAGTAAATGAACATACTTTCCAGAAGGCCAACAATTCACTAAAAATGTTTTTTTTTATTGGTGTTATGAAGTATTCTAATTTGTTGAGATAGTGAATTGGTGGGTTTTTGTTAAATGTGAGCCAAAATCATCACAATTAAAAGAACCAAAGACTTAAACTACTTCAGTCTGTGTGCACTGAATTTATTTAATACACGAGTTTCACAATTTGAGTTGAATTACTGAAATAAATGAACTTTTCCACGACATTCTAATTTATTGAGATGCACCTGTATACCAACATGTGTGTGTGTTTTACACAATTTCCGTTTCATGTTCATTTTATTAGGGTCTCTTAAAAACAAATGATTTTGTTGGTGAAAAAACAGACTAGTCTGCTATTAGTGTCATCCACACAAATGTATAAGCTTGCAGAGATTACACACTTTATTTTCTGAACATTTTTCTTTTAAAGTTTTTCAATTTAAAAAGGAACTGAAAGAAATCAGGAGATTAATCAGGATTAGCTGGTACCTGTTAAGTCTTATGAACCATTGTTCAGCACTGTGATATCAGGATGACTATGAACAGAGACCAAATGTTCAGTTTTGCCATCTTCTCTTTCCCTCCATAGTGACAGCTATTGTCTTATGTCTTTTGGTGTCATGCTGACTCTTAAGTCATTACTACAGTAACCAGATCTGATTTCTTCACTTGCAAAATGCCAGTGCAGACACTGAGATAAGGATTGGACCTGGAAAACAAATCAGATTTTGAGCTGATCACACAGAGATTGTATGTGTGAACAAAGCCTTGGAGATCTCGGGTCCTGAGAGGAAGCTAAATCTAAGGCACTCAAATTGAGGTCAAATGCAAATGTAACAACATGCTTGTATTGTGTGTGTGTTGTCCATATAAAACAGGGAAAAACGCTGAAATATCACAGCACTGAGAGACTTTGCATACATCTATACTTAATCTAGCGAGCTAAATGCATCCTAGCAGCTACCCACATGTGCACACAAACTGTATAGTTGACGAGAATAAATTATTTTATAAATAAATTATTTTTATTTGTTCTGATATTTTTAAATGTTCCAATTTTGCTAAGGAACCAATATGCCAAAGATAAATCTCTACTGCTGAATTTCTAATGGTTGACTTTTTTCTTCCGTTGCATGGTACATGCGTCACACCGCCAGCCCTACATGAAAGCTAGATGTAGATTGACGATTTGCTCCCAAATTGGATTAGCATAACCGAATCAGATCATATTTCCATTTTAATGGCCCATTTGAATGAATTTAATTACAGATTTACATCAAAAAAGAAAGACCTCTGTAAGGGAGCAATAATGATACTAGTGAGTTACCAGAATATTTTCCATCATGATTAATTCTGGAGAGGTTCCTCATGAAAAATGCCTGTGCTGATATTCTGCCGTGCACGGTGTAACAACACCACTGTTTCAATTTGTCAAAATCACAGTAAATGGGCTGTATGAAGAATGACATTTGGGTCTCATCAGCTCTATAATAAATTATTATTTTTTTAAAAATAATTCCTTACATTTATATAGTGCTTTTCTGGGCACTCAAAGCACTTTACATAGCAGGGGGAATCTCCTCAACCACCACCAGTGTGCAGCATCCACCTGGATGATGTGACGGCAGCCATATTGCGCCAGAATGCCCACCACACACTAGCTTATTGGTGGAGAGGAGACAGAGTGATGAAGCCAATCAGCAGATATGGGGATGGTTAGGAGGCCAATGGGCGAATTTGGCCAGGATGCCGGGGGTTACACCCTGTGTACTTTTCAAAAGACATCCTGGGATTTTTAATGACCACAGAGAGTCAGGACCTCGGTTTAACGTCTCCTCCGAAAGACGGTGCTTTTTGTCAGCATAGAGTCACCGTCACTACACTGGGGCGTTAGGACCCACACAGACAACAGGGTGAGCACCCCCTGCTGGCCTCACTAACACCTCTTCCAGCAGCAACCTAGTTTTCCCAGGAGGTCTCCCATCCAGGTACTGACCAGGCTCAACCCTGCTTAGCTTCAGTGGGCAACAAGTCTTGGGCTGCAGGGTGATATGGCTGCTGATGATAGCCGTATTGTAACTAACACAGTCCTTAGTGACCCAGCTTTAAAGCTTTTAACAGCTCCACTAATTAAACTATAACACCGTTTTATCACCCTCATAACACCCACAAGTATTAGGAGGATCGAAATAAACAAGCAACAAAATAAAAGAAAACATGCATTAGAAGTGCTACCAGGGAAATCAATATGCATAAAAAGCAGTCCGAGTGCAAGTATTTTCATACGCTTAGATCACTGATGTGTCTTACCTGCGGTCGGGTAATATGGGCACCCTCCAGCCCTTGATGAAGCTCAGTCTGTTGTCTGATAGCTCCACTTTAAGGGGCAGTTTGGGCACCCAGACTGTGAGCTCAAGAGGAGCACTCAGGTGCTCATAGCTGAAAATCACCCGAGCGTTCATGGAGCCACGCATCTCTTTTCCATTCACAAACACATAGTCACAGTTCATGGACACCTGTTGAGGAGAGCAAAGAGAGATTTGATTGCTTTCACTGCATTCTCTGGAGAGGCTGCACAATACAAAAGAGCTCTTCACGGGCAACTGCAAGTGGATGTCAGTTTCAAGTGGGGTTGTAAATTAAAACTTTTATTTGAGTAAATCAAAATTAATCACATATCAATATTTGCCAAGAAAAGCCAACCAAATTGATGTTGGCTCCAAAGCAGACTACTACCTAATAGTCTATGGAGCATTGCATCACCAAAATGTGGACTCGGATGGGGACTGAAAGGGCTTAGGACATTTTTTTTTCAGCATCTCACACCATGAGCAACACACATTTAAGATGCTATGTTATAAATGTGTTTCGAGACTACATTCATTGCGCTACGTTCAGCTGTTTTTTAACCAAGAACGCATCCATGAACGGCTCCACAATCATTTTATAAGTGTGGTTTGCAATGCCAAGCAGCCTGTAGCACTGCATGGGTAAAGGGTTAAATGCAATATTTTTCTTTTTACCACATGCTTCATATTATTTTGATATAATAATTGTATTAAATTAACACATTAAATTGACATGCGTATTTTATTATTATTTTTCTTTCAAACCAATTAACACTAGAAAGGGTTAAAGTGTCATTCTGATTTTCTCTCAAAAGCATCAAGTAAAACATGAAAATCATGCATTTAAAAGTATTTTTAAGAGATCTTTTTACTTGCAACATGTTTCCTAAAATAACAACCCATAGGAACTGGAACTGACAGCTTTTTTCCTGAGGCATTGGGGTTTTTTTCTCCCAAAGAAGCAGTTGTTATTCACTGCATTCTGTCTTCTTTTTCTGAGCACACAGACACACTAATGAACACAACACATATTTTTAAATCTTCAAGTTCTGGAAATTTCATTACAGCACTCGATACAGCACTTGTTTTCTCTACTACTCCTTCCGGTCTGCCAACACATTTCGTATGTGCACTCAGCAGTCTATAATAATAAATTATTTACTGTAATAGATAGCCGAAGCTTTGCTTTGGGGTACCATCTATGATTTATCTAGGGGTCTAAGGCAGCTGACACTGTAATCAGAGAACGTAATCTCCCTCAAATGGAGGTCGGGAGCTGCAGTCTATCCAAGACTAGAGATTCATCATAGTGGAGGATATCTGTAATAAAATATGTAGGCTTGCTAGACAGCTCCCCCTCTTATCCATACCATCAATATGGAGAATTGATCAGAGGAGATGGCTCTCTCTCCCCAGTAGCCTTTTGGAGAATCTGTGGGAAAACTCTGCTTGCCCACTTCATTTATTTTTTAAGGTACTGCTATTCAGTGAGAAGAAGAAAAAACATGAATCATGCTATACAGAAAAAAACCTGACATATGGTGAAAGTGCAGAGAGGATAACAGCAGCGAGGGGGAGGTACAGAGAGCACTATTCATGTTCAAATGAAACATCTCCTTGCTTGTCCTAAATCTAGATGTACAGAATCCGGTAACCTCATTTTATTTATAGTACAGAAGATTTCATAGTATTTTTTCTTCATTTTATATATTTTTATACTAAAATGCTTTCTCCTATTCCATCTTAATATGTACAGTAGTACACAGATCAGTACTGCATAATAGGTCAGCCGTGTAACTCTCCAATCGATCTACACTACTACCTATCTACACAACTCAACCTAGTCCAGCTCAGTATTGCATGCCATGAGATTTTTTTAGCCTTCCACCTCCCCAGCACCGCCTGGCTAGATCTGCCATGAGGTTCTCCCTACTTTACCTTCAGCAGCAACAGCGTAGCAGATCTAGTCCACCAAGATCAATCCTACCTACACTCTATTCTTATCAATACAATTGCTGTTAAATCAATATTGAGACTTGTAGTTATTATTGAACTATAAGTAAATCACTATGTAGGCATCAATATATTGCTCTGTTTGAATCCCAATCAGCCAGAAAGCGCAACATTGGCTCAGACAAGTTCAGTAAGTTCAGGCGGTGTGTTGGTTTGACAACTGGCAGACAGGGGGAGTGTTTGGGAAACCTGTTGGAAACCGTCATTATGCCAAATGCAATTTAATGCTAGAGAAAATTACACCTTTACATTTCGGTCTGCTCATCACAGAAAACTATTGTATGGCTTCAAAAGATCTAAATAACACAAAACGGTCATTTTATGTTCCACGTAAGAGAGAATAAAAATGAACGATATGAGTGTGAGATACTAGCAATACTAGTAACCCCAAATAAAATAGTCACTATTGTTACTATCAATAGGTGCAGGTGGCACACAACAAAAGCAGCAGTAGTCTACAGTGTTGAGCATGTCCTGTCTGGTTTCCAGTGCACTCTACAGTCTCATAAATGTGTTCCTGTTGTGCCACTTCAGTTGATGTGAGCTCAGTCTTGACCCAGATGCTCCTGGGGCTTCTAATAAACTTGGATGGATAATTTTAAGTCAAAAGCAGTTAAGGACTGTGGGCGTCACTAGCCAGCAGGGGCCAGCTGAAAGTACTTTTTACGTGCCAGCCGGCAGTCAGAGTTCCACGGAGTCACTAATCTGCCCTGGCACCTTGCGTGGTTCCAGAGGAGTGGCAGGGGCGAGGTCAGGATAGTGCCGCCCATTGAGACGCCTCCAGCTCAACACACCCGCCAGCTCCACCATCCAGACTGCCGTCACACAGTTAAGCAGATGCACTTTCATCTGTGTTGATGGTATCATGCAAAGGTTGACTATACATGGTTAAAGACGAACATACTGCCTACAGCTTGAAGCAGAAGCTGATGATTTAATGTAAAATGACAGCTAGCTTCTAACAAACAGAATGTTTTCACACTTAAAATATTGGTATAAAATGGAGACTTCCAGTTCTGAACGCTTATTGGCAAATACAGCGTTCCAGCTCTACTAAATTTAGGCAACAATGTACAAGAGGCCAAGCTATATTGTAGTCACAGTGAAAGGGTGCTTAATTAAATCAAATTAGGAATGCACAATATATTGGTACAATATCAGTCATGAGTCAGTATTACAGATTTATTGGTACTGACTGATATATATATATATATTTTTTTTTTTTAAATATTGATTTCTTGTATTTTTCATTTATACAGTATTTATTTTTTTCTGTCAAAGCTTACCTAAAGTTAATCTTAGAAAAATAGTAATAATTTTATAACACTGTTAAATATTTAGCAAAAATAAATCTTTAGCAAACATTGCGATATCTAAATTCATTTTTAGCATTTAAAATGATTGACTTACTTTTTTGGTATTAATTTATGTAGACAAAATCATATACATTTTTTAATATCAAATTAAAATTTGTATAATATTGTATACAATTTGTATAATGCTATCATTTGTATAATAAATTATTTAAAAAAATGATTTAATAAAATAATTTCTTTAAAAAAATATTTAATTAATTATCGGCTTATCTGTATTGACCAGAATTTCACAACCGGTGCTTCCCAAAGTAAAATGTTATTTTGTAAAAATTCTGCTTCATATATTTCATATGACAGTGATATGGTAAATGTGATTTGTATAAAAAAAGTTGTTACTATGTGTAATTCATAGCACTCCTGGAATTTTGTATTGACCAATCAGTATCCAGGACCAGAACTATCCATTTCATAATATTTATGCTATAATTAACTTTGATAGTAGAAATTATTTTAACATTTTAATTAAAAAATACTCACATCATCTTTAAAGGCAGAAGATAATAAAATGACATTTGCTATTATTATACATTATACATAATATTCAGACATTGACTGCATTGTACCGGTATCAAGGTATGAGACTCATCTAATTATGGCTTCAGCGTTCTCTACATGGCTATTCATGTCTAAATTTGTTAGCTGTATTAGAAATGTGTGCAGTGAGGATTCTAGCTAAACACTGAAATGGAATGGGAACGTGTGTTCTCAGATGGCCAGTGTGACTATCAGAGCCTTGAGAGTAGAGATCAGCTGGGACAGACTGTTTATAGCTTCCTGCTCCCAAACACAAAGTCCCACAGGGTCTCATCATTCAAAACTCTCATATAATACACAGAACAATGTAGATGTTCATTACTTGACTGCATTGTACCGGTATCAAGGTATGAGACTCATCTAATTATGGCTTCAGCGTTCTCTACATGGCTATTCATGTCTAAATTTGTTAGCTGTATTAGAAATGTGTGCAGTGAGGATTCTAGCTAAACACTGAAATGGAATGGGAACGTGTGTTCTCAGATGGCCAGTGTGACTATCAGAGCCTTGAGAGTAGAGATCAGCTGGGACAGACTGTTTATAGCTTCCTGCTCCCAAACAAGTCCCACAGGGTCTCATCATTCAAAACTCTCATATAATACACAGAACAATGTAGATGTTCATTACACACACACAAATAAATAACTATACCATTCAAATGTATGCAAAAATATAAGATAAGAAAATATAATCAAAAGATACACCGCTGGTCATATAAGAGTGTTTTATGACCAGCCTGTATACATAACCTGTGGCAAACATGATATTAAAAGTAATTTCCATGCGTGCAGCATATAATGTCATTCTCACAGCCATGCATGTACCCATCTGTTCTGGCATCCATATCCAGAAGTAAAAGCTTCGGCTCTAGGCGAATAAGCCCTGTTACAATAGATACTCGTGACTACCTTTTGAATAAGATAAGCAAAAATATGTTACTGGGCTCTGTAACACTTGCCTTCTGTATGATGCTTTTTTTCGCCACTGCACAGAGCGTTTTATTGAACTGTCAGGACTCATGTTGTCTCAGCTTGAAGGGCTCATCTTGAATTAGTCTCCAAAGTTCAATGGCCCGGGCAGCCAAGCAAACCCACTCAATAACACTAGAGCTAATGCTCTGCCCAGGCACTGCGGCACACACGGCTATTCTAAATCTTAAAACAGATAAATAACAAATGCCCTCACAGCCCATCTCGGATGACTTATGGATCTCAATTTTGCCGGACAGATGACACGCCGAGTCATATTATTATTTCGCTACATTTTGGATACGGTTTATAGTCGAATTGGTTTTCTACTTTTAGATTCTGTCGTGCCATGGAACAGATGGCGAAGATTGTTGAAATGACTGTTTCCTTCAGCAAAGGACACTGCAATATTTTCGGGCCTGTATTTATAAGCGCTCAGGTGGAACCAACTGCCCCTTGTGTAAATACAGAGAAATAAATTCATTCATTGACAAAAATACATAAGCTTAGCCATTGAATTGAGATGGAATTAGTCGAAGACACCGAATAAAATTTTAAAGCAGCAGTTTTGACTTAGTTGGTCTGATGGTCCTTCATTGTCTAACACAATTTTCAAAGATGTAAGATATTTCCACTAGTAGTCTTTTTTTTATTAGTAGTATTTTATTTTTCAAAGTAATACTAATAAACATATATTTTAAGAATTTGTAGACATTCAAAAAAATTATAATTTATTTATTTTTTATGTATTTTTAATCATTTTCATTAAGTTAGATTATAATTAATATTAACAGCGTTGGGAGTAACAGTACAGGTAAAGCAAGTTACATAATCACTTTTTTCAAGTAACTAGTAAAGTAACGCATTACTTTTAAATGTGCAAGAAAATATCTGGGTTACTTTTTCAAATAAGTAATGCAAGTTGCTTTGCTTTCCCATTTACTCACTGGCACCTCTCCTGTCCCCATGTTGAGAGAAATTGGGAGAGAGGTGCAGAGGGACTTCCTTCAGGCTGAGGCTTATTCATTTTGTTTTTGGTGTGAAAGGGCCTTTACAGTTGCCAAAAATATGGCTTTTGGGTTTTTTGCTATTAAAAACAAATAAGCAAGCCCAGCTCAGGTGACAAAAAGTAACGCAAAAGTAACGTAATGCATTTCTTTTCTTAAAAAGTAATGTAAATAGTTAAATTTTTATGGAATAGTGCAATATTGTAATGCATTTCTTTTGAAAATAACTTTCCTCAACACTGATTATTAATAATAATATATTCAAATCAGTTTAAGTTGTCCTACAGCCCCCTTGGAAGTTCCCACAGGAACAGTTCACACAAAATATCTAGTTTTTGAGTTAACAGCTTACTGGAGGTAATGAATATTACTTAATAATTACTTAAATCTGGATTAAGAGGCCTTATGGTGCTTCATTTTTGGACTTTAAATGACATAATAATTGTCACAGTATGGAAAACAGCTGCATGAAAAAATCATTTTATACATCTATAAAAATAAATACAAGTTCAAAATGACTTTAGGGTAAAGATGTATCATTTTAGTTTATAAAAAGAGCTTTGGTGCACTGCTTTCTAGGAGACTCTTCATTTAAGAGGCATTAAACACAAGTCAAGTGTGTGGCCTCTGCTGCTATTCAGTGGGAAACGCTGCTCTGCAGAGCACTGAACCCTTCTGATGTACTGTCTGAGACTGAAAAGGCATCGATCCCTCGAGGGGATCACAAAAGCAGTGTCCACAGCATATATAAACTCCACTTAAATGAGGTTTTGATGGTCATTTTATGGTCTCTTAAGTTGACCGCGATTGATTATGAGAATAGTAGAGGAAGTCCTAGATCACTAAACCTCTCAACGTGGGCGTGACGTACCTTGACAATGTCCTCATTGAATGACTTGCACTGCACAAAGGATGACACATCAGTGACTGCTCCGTTCAGCTCTATGGAAACCACCTTGACAGGGATGGCCACAGTTCGGCCAGTAAGAACTGCCGTGTTGATAATCTCAGTGTCCTGGATATGGAAGAAAGAAAGAGGGAGAATGAGACAGAGCATGAGTCAGGAGGTTAGAAGTTCACCGTTCCAAAGACCTGAATGTTCAGGAAAGCCCTGGAGTCAGTGCTAAACTGCTTAATAAAGTGTAAAAACAGTATCTATATTAAAGTCAAAAGCCATGAGCTTTCCTCTCTCTCAAAAAATGTCAGAGCAATATAAATTCTGGTTGACTGGTTTTAGAACTCATTCAGACACCTGAAATTAGAAGTGTTCACAACGCAGGAATGCGTCCCTTCAGATTTTCCAATGCAAATTCTTCAAAATGTGTATTTTTGAGAATTACATTTTTTGACTTTTTAATAATAGTACAATATTGTAGAATAAATGACTGAAATGCAGTCACTCTCTGTAAACAAAATAGTCTGAAAAGGTTTGCATGACATAAATGTCCATCACATAAAAACTTTCAAACAAAAAATACCCACAAATCTCCTTAAATTGCCACATACAGATGCCAATGCTTGGTACATGAATCATAACAATGGCTACAACTAACAATCATTATTTGAGAAAAGGAACAAATTCATTCTGACATCACAAGACAACTCAAGTTACTACTTGTGACACCATCATCAACAATAACAATGTAGATAAAACGGGCAAACAGTCAAACAATGCAACCATATTCATTATTTATGCCTCAGTGCATGCTGGGAAGAGAGCAAATAGGGTTGATCCACAAAACCAGTGCAGGCTGATTTGAACTCAAATGTTGTGCTTATTTGGAGTTAAAAAAAATAATAAAAGAGCATATCAATAATGCATTGATATGTTTTTTTTTTCCTTTTCGGGAAAGTCCGCTAAAAATCAATGTTTTTTTTTTTTTACATATATATTGTTTTCTTAATCTAACATGACTTTAGCATTTCATTTGATTTAAACTGACATTGTAAGTTGGTTAAGAATTAATGAGCTGAATTACTAAATTTAATTAAAATAAATGGCAAGAGCATTTTTAGTGTTTTCATAAGAGGAAAGCACTATTATGATACTGGAAAATTACAATAGCTGTAAAGCATTTAAATATCTTATCTGGAATAAATGCTTAACAGAACATAGATCTTAATCAGAAAGTAAAAGAAGAATACATGCTGTAAAATATATGAAGCTTGAAGAATAGGACGTACCTGTTCAAAATAGTCATTTGTGACAAACTTAAATGGGATTGAGATTCTCATTCACTTTGAATAAATCCTATTGGGCTATAGCAGTTATAGTACTTCACGGTAATGGACTAACTTTTAAAATACTCTGTCCTGAGCTTGCCAATTTAAAAGTTTCCCTGTTAGATGACACATGCAAATAAATCTATGCTTTCAATTACACCTCAAAAGCTGAAGCCAATTAAAGAGCACATTGGCTTCACAATTGCTTTCCAAGAAAAATCAATTCATTATTTTGGATAGAATTGCTGCAGGGATGTTGCACACCTAACTGTAAATTATTTCCCTTGTGGCCGACAGGAATAAAGCAAAGATTATGTAGCTCTCTCTCTCCCTCATGTTTCAATCAAAACAGCATATTTGAGGAGAAACTTTCCACCGAGCCCCATTGCTTTTAAACAGGCATTTAAAACAGTATAAATAAAAGCATGCATGTATGAATGAGACAGCCAAATTCTTATTTGAACTGGTTTTCAATCAACATCACTTGAATGTTTTTATGTCTAAAGTGCCCTTTTAGGTTGTCAGGGTTGAAAATAATGTATTCCACATAAAATGGCTTGACTCTTCATTTGGAAAAACTTATTTTCTTATCTTTTTGCTTTGCCAGACTAAATTGCTTTAAAGTCCAAACCAGGTGCATCATTTTTGTCCACAGTGAATGAAGAAGAAAGATGACCAGGGTTCCTGATGCTGCAGGGAGGCATGAGGACTGCAGATGTGGCCTGAGCAATAAACTGCAATGTCTGTAATGTAAGACGCCTAAGACAGAGCTACAGGAAGACAGGAAGGACAGCTGATTGTCTTTGAAGTGGCAAACCACATGTTACCATGTGTTCCGTTCCTCCAAACACGTTCAAGAACTTGCAAGTGCTTTGGTGGAAGCATCTCATAGCAATAAATGGCAAATCTGGTACAGTCGATGACGATGAGATGCACTGTACTTAAAGCAGCTGGGGGATACACATACTCACTGTGACTTTGGATATTGACTTGTTCAGGGACTCATTATTCAATTTCTGTCTGCCAAATATCTGTTAATACCACTAATAATACAAAAATTCAGAAAGATGACCAGGGTTCCTGATGCTGCAGGGAGGCATGAGGACTGCAGATGTGGCCTGAGCAATAAACTGCAATGTCTGTAATGTAAGACGCCTAAGACAGAGCTACAGGAAGACAGGAAGGACAGCTGATTGTCTTTGAAGTGGCAAACCACATGTTACCATGTGTTCCGTTCCTCCAAACACGTTCAAGAACTTGATGGCCATAGATGGGGTATGCGGTCACATAGCTGGCTAACAATGCTTTTGGGAAATGCAGGGTGTTTTGCTGCCTATGGTCGGAGACACTGGGATGGGATCCAGCATCCCCACTTGTCCTTCATATAAAATGGATGGATGTAAGAACTACATGGAGAGGTGGGGTGACCCAGTGTGACGCAAAATAAATAATAGTGCCAAAATATCTTATTGAGGTTGTCCTTGTTACCACTGGTTTGGACAAAAACCTAGATTTGCATGCAAAGGTTCACACTGACAGTGATTTGCAGCAACAAAGCAGCTGAAGTCATTTATTTTCAATGAGAGTTGGGATCAAGTGAGTATATATAGTCAGTGTTAGGCAGTAACAGATTACATCTGGATTATGCAATCAGACTCCAAATTTTTTTGATTATATATACAGTATATATATATATATATATATATATATATACTGAATATCTCAGAACATCTGGATCTCTGATGTGTTGTGATTCATCATATTCACGTAGCAGCAGTGGTGATGAGAGAACACGCTTGAGAAACAGTTGAGGAGAAATCAATCTACATATAAAATATTGATCACAAATTATTAAATATAATAGGGATGTGCATCTCCATAACTGAGGCCAATGCGATACACATCTCGATGCATAGCCAAAGCCACAATACATTAAATATACATATAAAGCAGATACCGATGCGATGAGATACGATTCTTCCCCTATTACAATGCAACGCGATCCGATTCGATTCAACACAATGCGATTCAATGCAATGCAATGGAAAAAAATATGATGCTATGCAATTCATTATGGTACAGATAGTTTGCTCAGACAGACAATCATGTTAATCTATATTCTATGTAACTCTCAGAACATCTGGATCTCTGATGTGTTGTGATTCATCATATTCACGTAGCAGCAGTGGTGATGAGAGAACACGCTTGAGAAACAGTTGAGGAGAAATCAATCTACATATAAAATATTGATCACAAATTATTAATCACTTTCTAAATAATAAAAGTATAGCGCATCTAACAATAATTATATATAAATAAATAATTTTTTATCAATGCAAATGCGTTAGAAATTATGCATCGCTATACAAATGCCAATTTGTATCCAATGCACACTTTTTTAAATCGATGCATCGTATCATTAACTTTTATGCTGATGCACTGATGCGAATCGGTGAATCTTCCCATATATATATATTAAGGAAATGATTTTTAATAGTTTTATTTTTCGTTAACAATAACAACTACAGTTGAATGGCACTATAGGATTGAACACTTTTCACATTATTGCATTACACATTGTGCTGCAGTCTTTTTATTTCATTGAAAAGCACATACATTTTGTCACAATCAGCTACTGTGAGGAGCGAGGAACGCGGAGCGAGGAAACGCAGGAGAATTCACAGTAAACACAGTCTTTAATCCTTCCAACACGGGGTACACAGGGCAGACAGGAACACACGTAGCACAAGACGTTCACATTCAATACCGGACAAGGGAGAATAGCACAGGCTAGAACTTAAAAAGGGCAGCTAACGAGGGGCAGACAGGTGAGGAGGATGAACTAATAATGAGACACACCTGGAAACAATGAACACACAATGGGTACAGGAACCGGAAAAACCAAATATGGACATGTCACACACGAGGGAAAACCCACACAGACAGTCCATATTCGTGACACTTTTCCTCTTTATTCTCATTTTTTTTAGCATGAGAGAGGTCGTAAATGTTGGACTTGCAAATAACATCTGAATCAGGTTCTCTTTAATATCTCCCCACTGAGCAAATGAGTTATTAGCTCAGAATTACTCTGATAGCCTTAGCTGAAACTGCATAATCATAATTTTAATTCAAAGTGCATTACTGGCCAGCCTGCCTTGTTTAAATGGAAGTCCTGAGTACTTGCACTAAGAAATAAAATTCATTACAGGCCTCTGCAAAGACTTTTCATCCTGCACCCGACCGACTCAATTCTTTGCCTGACACATATTCGTGACACTTTTCCTCTTTATTCTCATTTTTTTTTAGCATGAGAGAGGTCGTAAATGTTGGACTTGCAAATAACATCTGAATCAGGTTCTCTTTAATATCTCCCCACTGAGCAAATGAGTTATTAGCTCAGAATTACTCTGATAGCCTTAGTTGAAACTGCATAATCATAATTTTAATTCAAAGTGCATTACTGGCCAGCCTGCCTTGTTTAAATGGAAGTCCTGAGTACTTGCACTAAGAAATAAAATTCATTACAGGCCTCTGCAAAGACTTTTCATCCTGCACCCGACCGATTCAATTCTTTGCCTGACATCACATTTTTAATGCAAGGTAAACTTTAAAGGTCAACAGCATCCACCCATTGAAATTATTTAAAGCAGCACTATGTAACTTTTTCTGTGTTCAAAATTTGCAAAATGTATATAATGAGCGAGTACATCATGAATTCATCTTCCAAACCGCATTTCTGTCTTATTCCGAATCACTACGGTAGACTTATAATAAGTACTTATATTTGGA